AACCCACAGCCACTCAGTCTTGCCAGGGTTCGGTTGAAGCTTGTTGTTCCCCATCCAGACCCTCACAGCCTCCAGGCACTGGGATAAGACATTCACAGCATTGCTTAATTCGCCAGGGGCAGAGATGTATAATTGCCTCACCCCGGGGTGATGGATGAGCTCACCCAGTGCCCTCATGTAGATGTCATATTGGAGGGGGGAGAGCACCAAACCCTGTGGCACCCCACATAACGGGCTGAGGGCGGGATCTCTCCTCCCCAACCACCACCGCCTGGAATTGGCCCCAGAGGAAGGAGGTGAACCAGAAGGATACCCTGTTCGATGGTATCAAAAGCCGTAGAGAGGTCAAGTAGGGCAAGGATGGATGCACAACACCTATCCTGCCCTCGCCAGAGATCATCCAAAAGCGCAACTGATGCTGTTTCCATCCTGTACCCAGGCCTGAATCTTGACTGAAAGGGATCCAGATAATCCGCTTCATCCAAGGTCCTGTGAAGCTGTTGCGCAACCACCTTTGCAATCACCTTTCCCAAAAAGGGGAGGTTAGATACTGGATGAAAATTGTCCAGCATAGCGGGGTCTAGCGATGGCTTCTTGAGGAGGGGGCGAACCAAGTCCTTAAGAGGTGAGGGAACAACCCCCTCACTCAAAGATGCATTAACTATCGCTAGAACCCATTCACACAACACCTCCCAGGCCACTTTCACAAGCCAGGAGGGGCATGGATCTAAAGAGTAGGTGGCTGAGCTCACAGCCCCAAGGACCCTGTCCACCTCCTCAGGTCTAACAGGTTCAAACTGTTCCCAGATAACAGGGCGAGACTCCTTCCTAGGCATCTCCACCGGACCTGCAGCAAAGACAACGTCCAAATAAGAACGAATCTGAGTGATTTTATCCAACAAATGTTGAGAAAATTCCTCTGCATGTCCAGGAGGGCTCATATCACCCGAAACAGGGCTGCAGGGCAGCCATGTGCGGACACAATAAGAGCGGAGGAGTAATGACGCTTCACCGCCCTTATCGCCACTAAGTAGGCACGAACAGCCACTCTAACCCGTGTTCAGTCAAGTTCATCCCTTGTTGAGCGCCAGCGACGCTCTAGACGTCTCTTCTCTCGCTTCCTCTCCCTTAACCATGGAGAGAGCTGCGATCCCCGAGAGGAGAGAGGTTGCAGGGGTGCGATCCAATCCAAGGCCTCAGCTGCCCTTTTGTTCCAAGCGGTGACCAAGGCTTCGGATGGACCGTGCAGCAGACCAGCAGGAGCAACCCCCAGCTCCCTCTGGAAGCCATCCGGGTCCATTAGTCGCCGGGGGCGGACCAATCTAATGGTCCAGCCTCCCTACAATGGACAGTGGCGCCATGGTAATCAGGGCGTGATCTGACAGTGACAAGGGGGACACCAAAAGCTCCCCCACTTTCAGGTCACATAGCCGCTGCTCCGACAGGAACACCAGATCTGGTGTATGACCTCTGTTCCATGTCAGGCTCTGGATGATTTGGGATAGGCCCATGGCCGTCATGGTGGCCGTGGACTCCTGAGCCCCCTCAGACCCCACCCCTAGAGAAGGCAGATTGAAGTCCCCCAAGACCATAAGCCTGGGGAACTCCACTGCCAACCTAGAAATGGCGTCAAGGAGCTCAGGCAGGAAAGTTGCTGTGCAGCAGGGAGGGCGGTATGCTGGCAGCAATCCCAACTGGTCCCTAGAGCCCAACTTGATGAACAGGGTCTCACATCCGGTGACCTGTGGTGCAGCACTCCTGAAGGCCACACCTCCACCCCTGGCCCGGACTCTCAGCTGATGCCACACTCGAAACCCGGCTGGGCATAGCTCTGTGAGGGCTACCCCCCTCTGAATCCAGCCAGGTCTCAGTGATGCATGCCAGGTCAGCCCTCATTACAGACTGACCTGGCATTCAGAAACAGCAGCCGGAGACCAGAGCCTCTGAAGGCCTGCTGACAGGTCCCGGGGCTGAGGCTGAGGAGCTAGAATGTGAGACTGGTAACAGACAAGGGTCCCATGGTCCCTGGGAACGGCCTGCTCCCCGTCTCCTGCCATATCTCCCCATGCCGGTCACCACCATAATATTTTGGCCTGCCCCATCCCCCCAACAGCAGCCCCATCCCTATATTGACGCCCCTCAATTCCCAAAACCAGGGAGCATCCACTGTCCTTACCAGCCATACCTGGGAGGGAAACTGGGCACCCCGAGGCTCTTTAGCTCACTGGCACTCAGAGCCATCAGGGCGCAGCCACCATCTCCTCCACTTCATTCCCCCAGCCTCACACCCAAACACACACAGGGACCCCTCCCTTGCTGCTCCCACCCTTCGTCAAATTCCTCCTCCGACTCTCACCCAGAGAGAGGATCAACACATTCAAACCCACTCACACTCACACCCCCCACTCAACATCCAGGACCCTTAGTTAATTTACCCTTAACTAAAGAAAAAGAAGTCTGGCTGTTCACAATGTGCTACACCTTTGAAATGAGTCAGAATTAGGAACAATTTCCAGAAAATTCTATTGAAGCAATAGAAAAATAGCACATGCTAAGCTTTTGGAGAAAATTGCAATGTAGGCAATAATGTGATGCCTTATCCTTTTAACTCTAAGGTGACCTGCAGCTTGCCAAGCCACACTGAGTTTGGAGGAGCTAGTAGCGTGATTCCTTTACATCCAGAAGAATTGGCACACACAGAGAAAGTGGTGAGTCCACATGTTTGGTGTGAAGACAAACTGCTGGCCTTTTATTCTGCACTACAACTCTAGGGCTGGCTAGACTAATGTTAGAGATGGTAAAGAGGCTGAGAAAAAACAGGAGGAACTCTAGACATTCAGCAGACAGGAGTTTGTCAGTTTATCTCATAAATGGCAGCTCAGTCCAGGCTGGAAAAAATCCAGGAAGAAGAGACTCAAAATTGGCTGGAGGTTCTGACTGCAGTTTCTAAGATACTGTACCTTATCCCTAATTTTTGCAATGAAATTCCTTATAGAAGTTTTTATGATTCTTGCTTTTTTTCATTGGGTCCTGAGGTATGGGGCTTCGCAAAATGGAGTTGGGTACTTTGTCTTCCACCCAGCTAGTGGGCAGTGCCTAGCTGAGCTTGAGAAACTAAGCAGGGCGGACCTAGTTACTCTTTGGATGGGAAACTACTAGGAAATCCCAAGCCTGGAGGCTAGACTGCCAAGTCAACACACATCCCAACAAAGGCAAGACTGAGCCATGCTGCTGCCAAGGAAACGCCCCAGGAAGTCACCAGGAGTGGTGCCAAGCCAAAGCAGGCTTCCCCTACCCTTCTTGTGATTCAGCAGGTTGTGGGAATCCAGTCTTTGCAACAGCCTGTTATGTGAAGAAAACCACCACTAAGCCAGAATCTCTTTTTTCCTTTGGGCACAGTATGTCCTATGAGCCCAGCAGTTACATTTTCTTAAGCAGGTGCAGGGTGAAGCATGTTGTGTGAACTGTCAAAAGCTCTGGGTATTCTGCTATAATGGGCGATAGCCACCAGGTAGTGGGCGATGAACCACAGATCTGCAAAGAGGACCAAAGCAAATTTCTGCTGCATCAGGGGAGGAAGATTTCCAACAACTTTTAGACCTGTATCAATTCTGGAAGGATTAAGAGGACTTGGAAGTGGTTCAGAGAAAGGCAGTGTGGGTGAAACTAAGGCCTGTGAAGAGAGAAGGAAGATGTTGGCCAAGCTGAGCCTTGAGAGAAGATTGAAGAGGAATACGATAGCATTTTTCAAATAGCGGAACGGACATTAGCCAGGAGAAAATCAGGAGCTGTTCTTGTTCCAGAGTGCAGAACAGTAATGATTTGAAGCTACAGGAAGGCTGATTAAATGTTCTCCCTCAGCCCAGAGATCACCTGGGGGCCTCCCCTCAAGGATGATCTTGGGCTGACCATGCCCAGCCTTCTGAGGCCCAGAGGGTCACCCAGGTGCTGCCGCGCTGAGGAAAAGGAAGAGCGTTGTTCCACTTGGATATGGAATGGTCAGTGCTCACCTTCTGTGATGTCCAGTTCTGAACAATTGAGGAAGGACTCCCAAAAATTGGAGGTTCAGGGAAGGGCAGTGTCAACAATCAGGGGACTGGAAGCTAAGGGAGACAGAAAGAAAAGACAGTTTGGGGGCAGAGAAATATGATCCCTCCCATCGTGTCTGCAAGGGTGTCACCGAGAAGAAGGGCAATAGCTGTGCTACCAGGTGCAGAACACGCAGCAATGGATTCGAGTTGTAGGAAAGGGGATTCCCACTGAATGTTAGGAAAAACCTCCTTCTGGCCTGTACGCTCTGCGTGAATGACCATCATGGCTCATCCAGTGTTATTTTAGTTGTTTTGCTTTTTATTGTGTTTCAGTTTCAACTACTGTATGTTGACCAAACTGTATGGATTGGGGCTGCATATAAATATTGTTAATAATAAATAAATGCTAAGCCATAAAAAGACTATTTAAGAGTAAAATTAACCAAAGGTAGTCTGTTCTATGCATGCAGCTTGACCTTGTGAAGTGTGGTGTGTGAGTGCAGCCTCTGAGTAGTCAGGGTCTGCTAGAGAGCAAAAAGTTAGGAGAAGGAAAACTTAACTGGCCAGAGGTGTATTTTCTGACCAGAGACATCCAGGGAGTCAGGGTGGCATTGTGGTTAAGCAGGATTTGGGTTGGCAAGACTCAGGTTTAAATTCACCCTTGGCCATGGAACCCCCTTTGCCCCTTTCTTCCCTTCCTTTCGCTACTGCCCTTTACTGCTACTGCCCCACCCTGAAATGCTCCTGTGCTAGTCCAGACAAAACCCTTCTTTTGGATGTTCCGTGTCCAGCCGAGAACATTTTGCACACGCTGGGTTAGTTCAGGAACCAGGTAAAGCGCTGTGCAAAGCCAGCCATGGGCTAACTGTGGACCCGTCGCAGTTCTTAGCCCAGAGCTTTTTATCGGCCCGCGAGATCCAACATCTTTCCTCCCCTGCAGAACTGCACCAACGCCGGCTGCCAAGTGGTGACCTGCCAACTGCAGCGCATTGAGAGAAACTCAGAAGTCACCATCCACTTGCTGAGAGCCGTACGCAATGAGTTTTTCCGGAGGGTGAGTACCGCTGCTGCGTCTCCTGCCATGGCGGGGAGGCGGTGCTGGTGAAGCAGGTGAGGAATGTTCTGCTCTCGCGCTCTGTCTGTGGCCGTGTTAGCACGGCTTGCGAAGCTACTGAGGCTTCGCAGGGCTGTGGGTTTGATATGCTGGGCAAACTCAGCCATGGTAGTATGCAAACTACACCGTCCTAGCCAGTTGTGGTTTATTCTGTGCCATCGTTAAGCAAAGTTCAGTGTGTTGTGTGAAAAGTGACAGTGAAAAGAAAAGAGAAAAATGGAATTGGGCTGTGTGGCCCCACAGGGGGAAAAGAGTCTGCAGTGAGGAATGTTTCACTGATTTTAATCTAAGCAAACCCTCTTTGTATCCTTTTTCCTATTATTGCATAATTGCATTCAATAGTTTTGATATGAAGTTATTACTTTTTAGCCACTTTTCTTAGATCAGATGGTTCCAGCCCTTTAGGTCATCAGTGAACACCCTCAAAAAAACACAACATGCCAGATCAGGCGCTTCAGTGGGTTGGGTCACTTATTAATGCAGGTTTAACATTCAGGACATTGTGTGATTATTTTTCACATCTAAAAGGATAGCTCCTATTTAATTGCATCCTGGAGGAGCCAAAATTCATACCTGTTTTTTTCTGTTGCAGCTAGAAAATAAGAATCATAGAATGTCAGGGCTGGAAGGGGCCCTGGAGAACATTCAGTCCAGCCCCATGCCCACTGTAGGAATCCACTACAGCAGCATCCCTGGGGGGTGCCCACCCAGGGGTTAGGCTGTTCCGCAGGAGGGGAGCTGCCATCGAGAATGCCTGCTGTCGCCAGCCGTCTCGGTCAGGCAGAAACTACAGGCAGTCCTTGACCTGTGACCATTCAGTCAGCGACCATTTGAAGTTATGGCAGTGCTGAACAAATGGTGGTTTCAACTGACCTTCGGAGTTCCGGCCATCCCAGCACCCCTGCAGTCATGTGATTGTGGCCTGGGTGCTTACAACCGGTTGCAGTGCCCTGCAGTCACGTAATCGCCATTTGCAACCTTCCCTGCCAGCTTTCCCAGCCCTTCTGCACTTGCGCCGCTCCACCCACCCCTGCTCACCCTGCCTGACCCTCGCCGCGACCCTCTTGCGCACCCTGTGCACCTCTTTGCACCCCTGCACATCTTCCCTCGCACCCTCACACTCTCCCCTGCACCGCCTCGCTCCCTCCCCCACCCAGCAGCAGCCACTTACCTGCCTGCCAGCTTCCCCACTGACTTTCGTTGTGGGAAGCCAGCAAGAGGTTGCCTCGCTTAACGACCGTGGGATTCGAAGGGGCTTGGGTGACCATCCTCAGGGCATCCTGTTCTAGGTAAGGCCAATTCAAAGCCATGCCAGCTGAAGCTGGGCAAAAGCGCTCCTGGCCATGGCCTCCACCTACTCCTGTAGCAGGAGAGCAAGCACAACAGTGCCATCAAGTGTCCACGTTGGGGCAGTTGCACCATTTCACCGATGATATTCCAACCCCCCTTGACAAGCCCGACAGACAGATGGGAGAAGACAGCAAGCTAGTGCTGGTGAAGCTTAGCCATAGTTTTCCTCCAGCCACTGATGGCTTGTGACGTTTTCCTACCTTCTGTACCTATCCGTTGTGGATCCGTTTAAAAAAGTGATCAACATTCCTCACACCCCTTGCTCTCCATTTTGTGGATCTAGGCTAAATTCAAGACAGTGAAAATCATCAGCAGTATCACGCTGACCGTCCAAGAAGAGGACAATCTGTTTCTCCTGCCAAAAGCTGCCCATCGGCGGGAGGTAAGAAACGGGAATGACGTGGGGCCTGGGGCCTTTTCAGATCCCACTGTTTGGAGGGGTAATCTGCAGCACCTCCATCTTGCAAAGGAAAGGCCTGTTCCTGTTCTGTTTCTGTAGCCAGATAGAGGATGGGCATAGTTCTTCCGAATGGCAAATCTTGGGGGCTTGCTTTTCACACAGTCTAGTGGTCAAGGAGATAGAAAGAGTACTGCAATTCTGTGCCCTAAACCCAGAAAACCTTAGAGCCAAATACAGCTGGAGTTGAACTGCATGACCGAGTCTCACGTGCTAGGGGTTTCTCTGCTGTTTAGTGGAGTTGGATGCTCAGCACACAAGCAAGGAAGGGAGTGGCTTAGTTCAATGTTTAGAATGAAACCTGACCAGCTGCGAAGCAGAATTGCCACCTCTAACACCATTTTTGTTTCCAAGAATGCCTCTATGCCCCTCACAGGCATTCGTGAGAAGTACAAATGGCTTTATCTTCCCACCTGCGCAGAAGAAGACAAAAGCGTGCTGCATCCTGGGGAAATGCCTCGGTTACTAAAAGGGTATTTTTTAACTGGCTTCACCACTGAGGCAGCCATTCTGTGAAAGCACCTTTGCAGGCTTTAGAAATGTCAAATGTAAACGCCATGTGCAGTTTGTGATTTAATTTCGAAAATGCAGACTTAGAAGGTCTTTCTATGCCATTCAGAGCCAGCTGGAATTGTGCAGCACAGAAATATTAGTAGTAACATTTTTTAAAAATAGTATCCTATTATACCTGTAACGAAAGTTCTCTGCACAGATTACAAGACTAATTTAAAACACTGGAAGTTCCTAAAACATTTTTAAAAAAGCAGAAGAAACAATACAACAACAATACAATGCAATAAATAAATAGCAGAGGAAAATACAGATATAAAATCCATGATCCAGTGTAGAGTAGGTATTTTAAATCAAAATACAAAATAACAGAAATGACTTCTAGTACATCCTTCTGTTTCCATACAACCAGTAAAATACTTTTCAAAAATTTAGCTCCATATTTGGCACTAAGCAGATAGATTGTCTCTTGTGTTGGACACTTTAAATTCCTCGCCTACTCCTATCTTCCACACGTTAAGAACACACCTTGACCAGATTCCTATAGCATTTTTGGTTACTAAATGAATAGCCTCATAAATTAATGAACAGGCACGACATGCTAAACCACAAAGAAAAACTAACCTAGCTTAGCAAATGCAGCCGCTGGTCTAACTAACCTGATTTAGCATGTGGTGTGTACGCATCAACACATCAAGTGAAGGCAAAGGGAGCTGATCACCAGCCATCAAAATGGCCCACAGGTATATCCAGTTGCTCATCCAGGTTTGCAGACATAACCAAGTGGAGGATCAGCCATGAGCTTTCCAGTATATATTCACAATAATAACAACTAGAAATCTCATTTCCAAATGTTTGGTGTCTGTTACGTAATTCAGTCCTGCACCTTCAGTATAAGTTTTATTGCAAGGCACAGTGATGGGTGTCCATTTATTTTTTATTTTTACCTTACTCAGTTTTACACTCAAGAACTCATGGTGGCTAATATTCAATAAAATACTTTATACAAAAATAAAAAATTGAAAGAAAATATTAAAAACTATTATAAATGTTAAATAATAATCAAAATGCAGTGAAAGAGATGTATCTTTTTTACTAGAGAATAGTAACAAAAGGTGCAATTTAACTGTTAGTATTATTACTAGAGCAAATGAAAGCAAAAAAAGAGGAAACAAACGCTACAATAGTTCCACTTTATTAGGCTTTGTACAGACCCCCTCTTGAGCTGTGTGTCCAACTCTGGCACTACATTGTAAGGACATAGAGGAACTGGAACAGATTCAGAGAAAGGAAACGAGGAAGGGGCAAGATCTGGGCACGTTTAGCCTTGAGAAAAGAAAGCTGAGGGGGCATAAGATGGCATTTTCAAGTATCTGAAAGGATGTCCCACAGAAGGGCAAGAGTTATACTCTCGTTCCAGAGCACAGGGCATGGAACAAGGCATTTAAAGGTCAGGCAGGGGGCTAACAGGTTCAGCAATGGAGGTGGGGGGAGCCTGGATAGCCATCTGTCTGTAGTGCTTTCATAGGGACCCCCTCATCAAGGAGGGGGTTGGACCCCTTCCAACTTGTTATTTCTATAATCTGCAACTTAAAATGAAATTAGCACAGGCTCCTGGTGTTTAAAAGGCTGCTGCTGTCCAGTTTCTAGGGGCCGATCTGGCAAAGAAGGAGAAGGTGGCCCACCTACAGAGCCACAGTGAGTGGCACAGTGGGGAAGGTGATGGATGGAGCAGGGAGAGCTGGGTCCCAGGCCACCCTTGGCCCCAGAAGCTCCTGGGGGACTTTGCGCCAGTCATTCCCAGCCCAACATACCACACAGAGTTGCTGTTGTGGAAAACAATAGGTAGGAGTGTATTGAGTTGTTGAATAAAATGGGGGACAGCAATCTAATAAATGACAGATGGAGAGAGTTGGTACAGCTGGCCCCTGAACCCCACTTCCAGTGTCCCCCAGTGCCACCCAGAGTTATGCTGGCAGTAAAGCAGGATATAAATCAATAAAGAAGAAAAATAGATTAAAAATCAAATTGATTTTCAGCAGGGAACATAGATGTATTAAGCCTTTGGAGAGACTTGCATACATCACTGAATCCCTCTGCCTGCATTTTTAAAACCCTTTTGCCTACAGAATTTGCACAGCAGCATGAAGTCACCACCCCAGATTGTGCCTTTTCCTGGCTATCAGGGTTGACATCCACCAATGGAGGGACGTCTTTGCCAACCTGGTCCCCTCCACCAGAAAGCCTTCATCCTATGTTGGCTTGCCATGCAAGTGAGGGGATGATAATCCAGCACATCTAAAGAATACTTATTTGAGGAAAGGGCCTGAAAAATCTCTGCTTTACAATCTTCTCTCGTCTGGTTTAACCCCAAGTGACTCAAGAGGGTTACATCTGTGAACAAGTACCCTTGGCCCTGTTTCTACTCTGGAGGGAGGTCGCTAGAGCCTGTTTAAGCAGTTAACTGTTGTTTGGCCTTCCTAACCTTCCCCAAAAATTGCTGGAGAGAAAGAGCAGCTGAAGAAGCCAGCCTCTCCATTAGAGGATGTGCTGACTGGGTCTGGCACCACCAAGCGCACCTCCCTGAGGTTGCCAGGATGCAGGACCCATCGTATCTGCAACTGCCTAACCTGAGTAATGGGGGAGGGCTGGTGCTGTCCTTGGCATGGTGGCTCTCGTGATACTAGGCATTTTCTCCAAAATGTGATTGGCATGCTCCAGTGATTTTTTTTCCACCCAGTGCATGAGGCAGGACAGCCATGTAATATTCTGAGCAAGTCTTCAGAATCATTGCCCCGTTGGTTGTTTGCTCCTCCTTACAGGTTGTCCTGGAGATTATTCAGTCTAAACTAGTCCCAATTTCCCTCTGGATTTTGATTGGCAGCATCCTTGGCGGCCTCCTGCTGCTAGCCATGGTCATCATCTTCTTATGGAAGGTAAGAATCAGATGGGATCCACTTGAACAGGCATCTCTTGAGGATGCTTTAATTTGGATTCCTGCACTGAACAGGTGTGTGTGACTAGATGACCTTAAAATATCTCTCAACTGTAATTGACTCCGTAAATGTAATTGACTCTGCGAAGGCATAAGTTGTCCTTCTGCCTCCCATCTAGGACAACTGTTGCAAATTATGAAGGGCGTGACAGGAGGATGACAGCAATTAAATACATTAAGATTAATCATACTCATTGCATGTACTTTAAATTGAAATTTATTTGTTAAAATTATACTGATTATTTTCAATATAAAATCCTGAAATTAAATCTTGTTATATCAAACTCAGTTTGGGGCTCAGCCTCTCCCACATTGGGAAGCACGGCCCCAGCTGTGGATCTCAGACCCCCCAAAGTCTCTGCTCTGCTGAAGGTGCAGCTCCTGCACTGGTGAAGGGAATGCTGCAGATATGGGACTCCCAGGGTGCCGATTTCCCAAGGCTGCCCCCACATGGATAAAGGCAGTGTGTGTGGATTCAGCAGCTCCCTCAACAAGAAGTAACTAGGATATTAACTCAACTGTGCACTTAATTTACCAGAAGTCCCTGAAAAAGAAGAGTTTAAAAATGAGGGCATGTGAAAAAATGCCATTTGCCACACCTAAGACTTCTCATAGTAGATAATCGAAGAACACTTTCCCACTTGATAAAGTATTAGCTGCTACAGTTAAGAGAGGAAACAAAGCTTAGTTTAGTTGCAACTGGATTCTGAAACTTCAGAACTGAAACTTAGATTTTAAATGTCCAATTCTCTGCAGTTTTAAAGCAAAACAATAATAATCTGTTTTTCATTCCCTTCTTCATCCCAATGCCAGCTTGGATTTTTTACACACAAAAAGCCTGGGGAAGGTGAGAAAGAAGAGTAAAAGGAGTCAGTCGAACCAGGACTCTGCTCAAGAGGAAGGTGCGGCTGTGGGTTAAAACCCAGAAGGGGAGCTGATACTTTTCTCTTTCAACCATCTCTAAAACTACAGAAGTTCCAGTCATTCCACAAGAATTGTCTCAAAATCTTATGGCAGCATTTTTGCATTTAGGAAACAAGAAAGCACAACTTTCTCCCAGTTGCAGCTACAACTATTTAAATATCACCAGAACTGATATTCAGGCAGATCAAAATCCAAATTTGCCTGCAAAATTTATGAACAGACAAAAGCAGCTAATCAAGCAAGTGGATTTTAAGCAGCTCTCCTTCCACCATGCACAAAACCCCCATGTGGACATCTTACTCCAGATGCTTTTTTCCCCAGAGGAGGATGGGGGGATTGATTTGCTGTTTGCGATGCTGCAACATTGCACTAGAAAGTTGCTTTGACTGCCTATTGCAAATCTTGTTGAACTTGCCCTGGACTTTTGCTCCAAGAGAAAGCTGGGAAGAACCTGAGAAGACCATTGTTGTCCTACACAGACCTGGATGGAAACAGAATGAACAAGCTATAGGGACATGGTGTCCTTTGGCTTGTTGGTTGTGCCCATTTTCAAAACAAGGCATGTTGTCAGATTGGCTTCCTTGCTGTATGTCAGAGGGTGCTGGGGGCTGTTTTTCTCACAAACTGGGCCATGGCATCCCCCGCCCATCACAACCTGTTTTCTGGAAAATCATTCTAATGACAACGGGAGATTAATAAACTGGAAAAGTCACTCTCTCCTTTCTTTAAAGCATTGTGTGCAAGAGTGTTCAACTCTAGCTGCCCAATGTTAGCGAAATGTAAAGCAGGGTGGTAGTTGTGTCCCTCCGTTTGGCTGAACAGCTGGTTTTCTGAATTTAGCGCTCCTAAAAATGTTAACAAACACTTGGGTGATTGTGACCTTTGGCTGCTTCAAACAAAGGCAGTCTAGAACAACAGAAATGGGAGTGAAGATAGATTTCATCACAAGAGTCACAATCAAAATTGAATGAGGAGCCTGTGGCTGGACTCCAGCTCCCATTAACCTCAGCCAATCCAGAATAATGGGAATTGCAGTCTCCCAACTTCCAGCCAGGCTCTCTTGGTCCTCACCAGCAGCCCCTTTATTGCCCCTTCCTCCCTGGGCAACAGAACAACAGACTTGAAGGGAGTAACAGGCAGACATCGCTGCAGGTCACTCTGAGGTGGCACAAGGAGTGGCTCATTCCAGGCACAAAGACTCGGGAAGAATTCTAGGGAAACGGATGATGCCCTTTTGCAACTTTCCCTGGATCTTACGAAGAGGCCTTTTTGCCACAGCAGTCTCCAAGGCTGTCAGGTCGGCAACGTTGCTGCTGTTTGATTTTGGCCTCAACGGGACCAGCGCAGCCACCACGAAACTTACCTCCAAGCATTAAGTGGCCAGCCTGTCCTACACGTCATTCCCTCGGCTCAGATGTCCTGCCAAAAATTACCTTCACTGTTTGGTTTCTTATTAAAGACTTTATTCAACTTTTTGATAGCAAACAAAAGGCGCTAAGTTTGAAATCAACCGCCAGGCACACTGTTACGGCTATGAAGCTGCCAGCGGTTTTTTTTTTCCCATGTGTGTGTTTTCCTTTTCTCTCTTTTCAACATGACATGGCCTGCCCCCACTTTCCTACCCTCAAAGGTCAGACACTGATCTGGCTTTTAAATGAGAGGTTTTTTTCAAGGGCTGGTGGGTGTTGTGGTAGTTCAGACATGATTGAGAGGTTTAAAAGCCAAGGAGAAAAGAATGGTGATGTAGGAAAGTTCAAGAGAAGAAAAAAGAGACAAGCAGTTCTTTCTGATATTTAAACAACGGCATTCCCATTTTAAATACGGAGGAATACCTGGCAAAACAACGTCTGCTTCAAAAGATAAATGTAGTCCATTTGGTAGCAAGGAGCAAACTGGGTCTTGAGTAGCAGGTGGGTGACATTTAAGTTCAAGCCCAGGAGTCCAGTCAAGGAAAACCTGCCTTGTCGCAGAAGCATCATCCATTGCTTCCACAGCAATGGGGGAGGGGGGAGGGAGGGGCTTTCCTTCTCCTTTCCCCTCTCTCTGCCCTTCTGAGCCCAAGACACCATCAACCAAATGCAAAGAAAACACCACCAGCCCCCTCAACCAATGCCATCATCTAAGGCATTGTAAAGTGCCTCGTCCCTGCGCTCTTTCCCTTCCCTCCTGCAGGCTAATTCCTCGCTCGGTTCGGGCTTCCTCTTTCCTGTCTGCTGCCAGAAAAGGACGTGTGTGGACAGCCAGGACTCCCTTTCCGCAATCAGTGAAGATGGAGGCACAAGCATTGATATGCGGCACTCCCGCCCTGGAAGCGCTAATCTGGCCTCTCCAGACATGAAGGTTGAAGAGATGGTTCCTCAGTGACTGTTTTTCAGAAAAGTGGCCAGGCTTTGATGGGGATGTGATTATGCCAACTTGTGCCCACTTTCTCTTCTCTTGCTACTTGCTTTTGTAGTTGAGTTATCATACAATTTACAACTGTAGTCCAGAATACTACAGGCTTCAGCTGCCCTTCTCCCACCCCACTGGCCTGGGGAGGCTTCAGAAAGTCCATCGGTCATGCAGGTGACTTGGGCTGCTAAAGGAATTGCTCGTGGAGGCCTCCGCATTTGAGGCTTGCTGAGTGGAGTCCTCCCCATTCAAACTCTTCCGGCACACGGGACACGTGTCATGCTGGCAAGGAAGAAAACAAGCACGCGTGTGAACCGACCGGAGCAGAGCCGGGGCAGACAGCACATCCGTGGAACCCAGCGAGAGGTCAGGCTCTCCAGCCAGAGCCCCACCACCCTCAGAAAAGAGCACAGCTGCATCCATGCAGAACACAAATGGCATTCTTTTTAACCATGTTTTGTTGAACAAGCCATCATGGCACACAGAGCCTTAACAGGTGGTTTGTCCTTCACAAATACAAGTACACTGTGGTCAAAGGGAGACAATGCTTGGTGTCCCTCTATCTACCTGGCCATGTACAGAAGAACTCTGCATAGGTATTGGTGGGTAGAACATGTGCAAAGAATCCAACTGTGCCAGGGATCCCCCACATGCAGGGCAGGAATCGCAGGGGAGGTGCAGGACATTTTCCAGGCAGATTTAATTGCTGCACAGGAATGTACAGCAGTGGGTGGAGCACTGATGGGGAGAGGAACCTTCTGTCCCCACAACCTGCAGTTTATAACCTGGCTTTGGAGGAAGACGCTTTGTGCACACTCAGTACCTGTACCTCTAGGGACGCTGGATTAGTCTTTGGGAAACAAAACCAGTCAAGGGTCTTATGGCAACTTAGAGACAGACCTATGTGTTAACACATACATTCTGTGATAAATCTGTTCTCTAGGGTGCCCCAAAACCAAGAGTTTTTACACACTTTCTGAACAATGCTTCCCTTTTTCAAGACAGGCCCTGTATATATATAAAATCACACTTTCCATGCTACACATTACTCCATACTACCTGGAGAACTCTTTGGTAAACCCATGCTTACAGCTATTCAAGTGAATTAGATCCCTTGCTCTGCTGTCTACCTTCTCCCCATCCTTTTCCCTTTACTATTTATTTTGTTCCAGGAATTTCTTACCCACTTCTCATTGTGACCAAAACAAGAAGATCAACAGGACCTGGGGAGTTTCTCCCTGGAAACTTGCCGATGATTTGCTCCTGCAAAATGCTCTGAGTGCTTTGCACAGAGCACAGCCAATTGGCTCTTGGAATGGAGGATGTGACGGACAGCATCTTGGGACACCGTTTACCAATTCAGAGCTGCAAGAAGGAACATCCTGGTCCCAGAGGTGCCAAAATCCCAATGCCCTCTAGCAAGAGGATGTTCCTTTCTTGTTGCTTCTAAAGCCTGGTGACCCAGATACATCTCCTGTGGTGGTGCCTAAGGCTTCCTGCCCCACGGCCAGGGACTAGTGAATTTCCCTTCCCACCCCTAGCTGCCCAAGCAGAGACTCACCAATTCCAGCCATGGCACAATGCAGCTGCTATGGAAATAGTGATTGCACGGGAGTTGCCGGACCTGCTCCGCCACAACATAGTCTTCTTTGCACACGGGACACTCCAAACCCGTATCTGCAGGAAGGGGAACGTTAGTGCCAGCTGCCACTGTACACTCTGTATTAGCCATGCAGCAAGAGGGAGGGAGACACCCCAAGGCTCAGAAAAAAAGAGGTAGGCGGAAAAGGGCAAGACAAGGAAGACTTGTGAATCCTGGTGCAGAGAGTAATCTAAGCAAGTCAAGGATGACCCCAAAGGGATGCCAGCTGCTAGGGAGTAAAAAGCAAGGCTGGCAGGGAGGGGGGAATGGTGTGGCTTTGGAGTTATAATTCCCAGGAAAAGCAAGGAGAGAGAAGAGCACCCAGAAAGAAAAAGATGCAGATAAATGAAAAGGGTGAAGAGGTTCAGAATGTGATGAGAGAAAGGGCTTGGGCTGTCACTTGTTTGATAAAATTTAGCAATCACCAGTTGGGGTACTGGGCAGAGCTGGCAATCCTCAAAAAGACACAGCGTCATGGAAGCTCTGACTTCCCTTTGGAGTTGCCCTTAAACCTCTGCCAAGAAAATGACTGGCATGTTCCATCACATGCCAGTGTGACCGAGGGACAGACAGAAAGATGCCACCAGGAACGTGACTCTCCACAGCTGGCAGGAAGTGCTGGGACAGATCTCACTGCGGCACTTGCATCTTGCGGTACCTTGTCCATCAGAGCTCCAAACTTGCCTTTGCCCTAGAGGTCCTTCTCACTGAACTGATCACAGAAAATGTCAAATCCATTTTTTCCCAATGCTTTTAACTGGCTTTTGCCTTCCCTTCCCTTCCCTGTAATGGATTTATTGGTAGGATTATATTATACAGTACTGTGCAAAAGTTTTAGGCAGGTGTGAAAAAATGCTGTAAAGTAAGAA